AATTCACTCCCCATTAGTTTAGCAAATTCTTTACTTAACTTATCAGTAGTTTCTCCAAAGCTTATATCATCAACATATATCTGAACTACCAAGAAATCTTTATCCTTTTCTTTCAAGAATAAAGTATTGTCAATTTTACCTCTCTTGTAGCCATGCTCAAGCAAAATTTTTGACTCTTGGAGCCTGCTTTAGCCCAAAAAGTGCTATGTCAAACTTGTACACATGATCAGGGCATTCCTTGATTTCAAAGCCCGGAGGTTGCTTAACAAACACTTATTCCTTTAAATAGCCATTGAGGAAGGCACTCTTGACATCCCTCTGATGGAGAGTGAATTGCATGTAACCAGCAAAGGCTATGAGGAGTCTAATTGCTTCTAATCTTGCAACAGGAGCAAAGGTCTCATCATAGTCTATGTCGTCCCCTATTCCTACTTCTGGTGCAGCTTTAGTCTGGGTTGTGGTTTCATTTGAGTTTCTCACCAGCCCAATTGCTTCATCATCATGTTCATGTCTCTCATAAAGAATGTTAGTTTTATCAAAAATCACATGTACACTTTCTTCTACACACATAGTTCTTTTGTTATAAATCTTATAAGCGTTACTATGTGAAGAATATCCCAAGAATACTCTCTCATCACTTCTGGGATCAAACTTGCATCCAAATGCCCTAAGATAGGATATGTTTGGCTTTCTCCCTTTAAGTAAATCATATGGAGTCTTCTCTACAAGAGGTCTAGTCATGCACTTATTTATGATGTAACATGCAGTGTTCATAGCTTCTGTCGAGAAACTATGGAGCAGTTTACTAGAAAGAAGCATAGTCCTAGCTATATCTTCAAGTGTCATATTCTTTCTTTCAACTATTCCATTTTATTGTGGAGTCCTAGGAGCAGAAAAATTATGATCCATGCCATGCTCATTACAAAATTCAACAAATTTAGCATTCTTAAATTCAATACCATGATTAGACCTAATTGATGCAAGTTGATTACCTAGTTGTTTCTGAGCTTTTCTAACAAAAGAAATGAACATGTCAAATGCTTCATCTTTAGATGTTAAAAATAATGTCCAAGTAAACCTAGAGTAATCATCAACAAACACCATCATATATCTCTTACCACCTCTGCTTAATGTTCTCATTGGTCCACAAAGATCCATATGGACTAGTTCCATCGTCCGGGTGGTGCTTACCACTTTCTTTCTTTTAAAAGAGGATCTTACCTGCTTCCCCCTTGCACAAGCTTCACAAACTTTATCTTCCTTGAACTTAATGTTACGCAGTCTTATCACTAAGTCCTTCGAGACTAGTTTACTGAGTTGACTTTGACTAGCATGTCCACGTCTCTTGTGCCAAAGGAGGGGATCTTTATCTAACACACTTAAGCACGTGAGTTCATTTTCTAAAAGGGTGGACAGATCTACAACATATATGTTGTTCACTCTTTTTCCCTGCAAAACAACTTGTCAGTGGTAAGATTAATCACAAAGCATTTGGTAGAGGTGAATGCTACCATGTTACATCTATCACACAATTGTGATACACTTATTAGACTGTACTTCGGTCCATCTATCAAGTAGACGTTCTCAATAGAGTGAGAATCAGTATTACCTACCTTTCCAACCCCAATGATCTCACCTTTCTTCCCATTTCCAAAGGAGACATTACCTCCTTTAAGGTCCTCAAGCGAAAGGAACTAGTTCTTGTTTCCTGTCATATGCTTTGAGCAGCCACTATCCATGTACCATATTTGATTGCTCCCCTTCACGTGGACCCGCAAAAGGAAATCAGAGATTAGTCTTAGGAACCCAAACTAGTTTGGGTCCTTTTCTATAGGCAAAAAGATGAATCAAATTCTTTTTAGCACAACTTGGTAACCTATTCTTCCCTTGAACAAATTCTTTGTTCTTTTGACTTACCTTTTCTTTTGCAGTGCATTCACTTTTATAGTGACCTGATTTGCCACAATGTGTGCAAACCTTGTTCTCAGGAAGTGTGAGGTACTTGCTTTTGGGATCCCATTTAGGTGCCAAATTCCCAAAGCTAAGTCCTCTTCTGTTGCTACTATGGTATTCCTGTAACCATGAAAGTGCAACGGAGGACCTGTTCCATTTACAAGTTCTGTCTAGCTCATGCTTGACCTTTCTTCGATCCTCCTTTAGGATTCTCACCAGCTCATCCTTTTTATACAACTCATCTTTCATTTTCCTACATTTTTTTCTAGAGTGAGTTGTGTGTGATTAGTTGTCTTTTTACCTGTTCCTTGTTTCAGTTTTAGATTTTCAGATCTAAGTTCTAGAATAGTTGAGTCAAGTGCATGAACCTGGTTCTTCAATGCAGTGTTTTCACTTACAGTCTCACTAGCCCTAAGTTCCAGGTTTTTGCACTTAGCCTTCAAAATCACACATTCTTTAGACAACTATTCTTTTTCATTGTTTACATCCTCAGATTCATCAATTAGTTCTAGAAGTAACTCAGATAACCTTTCTTTAGACAATAATCTAATCTTGTCTTTGAGATGAATTACACTTACCTCAGTTTCTTCATCAGATTCTCCAATGGTCATAAGTGCTTGTTCATCCCCATCATCATCTCAGCTTTCTCCCCAAGCAGCGACCATAGCCTTGGTTGATCCTTTGCTTTTCTTGGGTTGAACCTGTTCCTTCTTCCTGTTGCTTTGTTCAGCTCTTTCCTTATTCCATTCAATTTTTCATTGAGGACAATTCTTGATGCGGTGATCAGTCTTTCCACACTTGTAATAGGCAGGACCCTTGTCAATATCTTCTCGACTCTATCTTCTTCAGGAATAATCCTTCCAAGAGATTTTAGTTCATTTGTCAATGTAGTGAACCTTGTGTATATCTCTTGAATGGTTTCTCCTTCCTTCATAGTACAGTTCTCATATTGAGAGTACAGTAGATTTTCTCTGGATCTCTTCACCTGAGGTGTTCCTTCATGAGCCACTTGCAGAGTGTCCTAGATTTCCTTAGCAGTGGTACAACTTTGGATTCCGTTGTACTCATCTTGGACAAGTCCACAAACAAGCCATTTCTTGGATTTAGCATTCTTCTCCCATTTCTTAAAGTCCTCAACAGTGCAATCAGCTCTTGTCTTTGGCACCTCTACTCCTTCGATATTTATCTTCAAGGTAGCCAGCGGACCATCGGTGACTATGTCCCATAGCTCATACTCCTCTCCTATAATATGATCTCTCATCATGTTTTTCCACCAAGAGTAGTACTGGTCGTTAAAGAGTGATGGCCTAACAGTGGATTGCCCTTCCCAATTTTCACATGGTGCACTCATCTAGATCTTCTTCTAAGGTATTAGCCTCTTCAAGGATAACCTGTTCTAATACCAATTGATATTTTATATGCCAATACCACACAAGAGGGGGGAGTGATTTGTGTGGTGTCCAATTTGCGCGTGCACTGATTATAGAAGGACCTGGTTCTTCTAAGTGTTCCTTATACTACTGTTGTAGAAATAGTAAATGCGGAAAGTAAAGAACACAAGTATTTTTACGTGAAATATACCCGGCTCAAAAGGTAAAAAAAACCACGACCTACTACTCAGTATGATTTTTCCCAACACTTCACTAAATCACTAAGCCAAAATAATATTTACAAAACTCTTTGTAAACCTAAGGATTAACTCTAATCCCATTGTGACAACCAATCTCTAACTGTTGCGACAACTTCAAGTTAACTCTAACTTGAATACTCAGAGTACCTAATACAATTGCTTCTAGATAAAGTTGAAAGGTACAACTTGAAAACACCTACTACAATTGAACTAGAATAAAAGATAGACGCTTAGAACTGGTTCTTCTATCTAGTTCATGTAGCTTCGGGTTCGCACACTTGAATCACACAAGAATTGCTTGCAAAATGCCTTGCTATTTTGCTCTCAACTCACGTTTAACTTCTGTGTTTGTGCGTCACCGTAGAATGAGAACATCCTGCAATATATAGAGTTAGTAGAATGGTAAATAACTAGAGTTCTAATGCTACTCTTCCTTGGTGTAAGAGTTCTAGTTATCCTCAACTTCTAACTCCTCCCTTATCTTGGATAGTGTTCTCTTTGAGTAAGAAATCATTCTCCTTATCAATTATGCAACATTTTCAACGAGCAGATATCTGATATAATAAGTTAAGCTTATCTCCTTCACGTGCATTCCTTATGCTCGAATAATATGCATGTGTCTGTGTACACAAGGATGGACCTGATTCATGCATGAGTTCCTCTGTCAATCATCAAAACAAACTTCACTTGGGCCAACAGATATAAATGGTGATTACAGCATCTTTGATAATTTTTAAATATATAAAATTATCTTTAAAATATTAAAATTAATATTCGAATTTTGATAATTTTTTGTAGGATAGAATATATGCAGTCAATTCACTAATAATAGATATTTCATAAGTTAGTATCTCTAGTATTATATAATTAAATTATAAAGAGTTAAATTTACTAATACTCAGGTAGAATTGAAAATTTAAAATAAATTATTTTCAAATTTAGAAAGGAGTCTTTTTGGAACGGACTAAAAAGGAGGTTCACATATAAACTGGAACGAAAAAAGTATTAGTTATTTTAAAGTGTACATTAAAAAAAAATTATCTTCAAATCCTAAATCCTCTCCGGTTAACTTCACTAACGCTCTTGAAGATTTTATGTCCAACTTCATACTGAACATTAAGTCATCCATTCTCCGTACACTGCCAGATGGAGCCGAAGGAATGCTTTAATTTGCTAGGTCTGGCGATATCAATTTTAAAATAGTCATAACTGTAGAAATGATTCCATTACAAAAAGAGATAAATCTCGACGTTAAATATTTTTCTGGAAAAAGAAAAAGGAAAAAGTTTCTTCTAATCTTCGTGTTTTGCTGGATCACTCCCTGGCCCTCTCCTAAAATGGTTTGATTTAAAGGAAATCAAATAAGAAAAAGAGAAAACAAAAGGCTAGCTAGAGAGAGGAGGAGAAAATTAACACGTATAATAATATAACTTAGTTTATTCATCTCATAATCTCTGCATTTTGCAAGGAGATCGAAACTGAACAAAACATACACAATGACAGAAATAAAATATAGGGCAAACAATATCAATAGCTTAGATAACATGAAGCTACAAGAACTTCGCCTCCTGTGGGGCTTATTTTTTACTCTTTTTGTTTTTCTTCTTCTTCTTCTTCTTTTCTCATTGCCTCTCGAAAATGGAAAAAGCCTTTCTTTTAGCTCAACATTCTGCTTTTCCTGCATAAGAATATACATTGTGTGATTAGGTTCTTAGTAATATCAAAAGATACTGAAAATTCTGAACATCTAGTGACTAATAAATGAAGCTAAGAAAATAAAAGGCAGAGAGCGCAGTTCTTTATAATTTATATTATATTAATGTTTTGCATGAAGACAGTTATGCAATTTTGCTTTGCATTCTTGACATATCATTATGAAAATGTCTTAATTAATTTGGCTTTATTACCTTCAACTTTGTGATGTCACTTCTTAGTAATGGTAGGGAGGAGGAGGAGAAGCGTAAACATAGGGGTGGTGTGGTGGTGGTGACTTGTAAACTGGAGTTGGTGGTGGAGGTGACTTGTAAACTGGTGCAGGATGATACGGTGTTGGTGAAGGATGGTATGGCTTCACCGGTGACGGTGGTGACTTGTAAACTGGTGCAGGATGATACGGTGTTGGTGAAGGATGGTATGGCTTCACCGGTGGTGGTGGTGACTTGTAAACTGGTGTTGGTGGTGGTGGGGACTTGTAAACTGGGGTGTGTGGAGGATAGTATGGTTTCTTGGATGGTGGTGGCGACTTGTAAACGGGAGTTGGTGGTGGTGGCGACTTGTAAACCGGGGTGTGTGGGGGATAGTATGGCTTCTTGGGTGGTGGTGGTGACTTGTAAACGGGAGTGTGTGGAGGGTAGTATGGCTTCTTGGGTGGTGGTGGTGATTTGTAAATCGAAGTTGGTGGTGGTGGCGACTTGTAAACTGGAGTGTGTGGAGGGTAGTATGGCTTCTTGGGTGGTGGTGGAGACTTATATACAGGGTGGTGGGGTGGTGATGGATAGACATGCACTGGTGGAGGAGGAGACTTGTAGAGGTATGGTTCCTTAGGTGGTGGTGGAGATGAGTATTGATAATTTGCTGAGCTTTCAGAAGCTAAGCTCAGCGACACTAAAACCACTAAAAGAGAGGCAAATAGAGAGGCCATTTTCCCCATCTTTGAAACAAATGAGAAAAGTTGTTGTCCTCTTAAGCTTCACTCCGACCCCTTTATATAGCTTTCAATGATACAATTACCCTTTTCAAGATTTTCATAAATGAAGGTAAAAGTCTCACTAGATTACTTAAAACCTACCGAAGTAAAAAAGCTAGAGTATGCATTTTGATTTGGTTTTGTCATGTTGTCGGCTCAAATTGACTTGAGTTGGTATACTTTTTTTGTTCGATAGAGGCTGCAAGCTAAGCATAGCTGGAATTAATAAACTATTATGGCAGCTATACTATTTCTGATGCAAGAATTTAAAGAGAAAAGTCTCCTTTACTTTCTATCTTTTTATACAGTACCGAAGCTTTGAAAAACAAGTGTGGATGCCTCAACTTTGCACGATTTCAGTTGCAGAAATCTGAGCAGATAGCTTTTTTATATGTCTCTTTTAACTTTAATAATGTTCTGTTCACATGTATGACTAATTTCAAAAAAGAAAAACTATGAAACTTGACATTTACTACCGAAATCACAAAGAGTGAAATTAATTCACTTGTATCAGACATTGATAAATTGAGTAAAGTTAATATTCAAGCATGATTAGTGTCAATCATTGTGTCGCTCTAAAAGGCTTTATATGTAAATGATTACCAATACAGTAAATTAAGTTAAATTCTCCTTGTATGATTAATGCTTCTAGTGAAGAATCGGATATGGATCTGACGACTCAGTTCAGCTTTGAACAAGTTAAGTTTTTTCACTTGATGTTGAAGAGTTGATGTAATTTAATTCTCGTGTACTTCTGACTGGTTAACTAACCTTCACATGTGCTCAAGAAGCATATCAGGATCTTTTAGTCTATCCTAATTCTCAAGCTATAAAAAATAGGGAATAGTAGAGAAATTAAACACAATACATTATATTAAGAGATATAATTGATCAAGAACCAATTAATACTTTGATAGTATACAAATACCACTGTGCACTTTCAATCAACGTATAAGAATCAGTAACTTAACTTAGATCATGAACTCCTACACTTTGGTGTTTTGTCAGATTTTGATTTTATGCCCCCCTCCTTTGTATTATCTATTTCGGTTTAACTTTAGGGTAAGCGTCCAAATCACACCTCCCACCACCTCGGGAGGCATAAGCTCTGCTGAATGGATTCAAGGGGGGAAAAAATCCACCACCCCTCAACTTGGAGGGGAGTGGATTCACAGGGACTCAATGCTCGAAGCTCGTTGGATTCACACTAGTTGAAATAAAATCTGGTGGAGTACCCGGCAATCGCTTGGGCCGACGTGCATAATCAGTAACAATAAAAAATCAGAGTCGAAGACGATCAATTCGGGGCCCCTTCCGGGTTCGTTTACCCAGTCAGAGCCGTCGACATAATCAAGAGAGACATTGATCGTGAACCAAGGTCAAACAGGGATCGATATCAGCCATACAATGGAGACCGAAGAGATAGCGGTTCTGAGTCAAACCCCATGAAAAGTGAAAGAAGGAGTGATCGGGGTCAAAGCAATCGGGGACTCATAAGCAAAAATAGTTTCAACGGGCCCATCGGGCATAAGGAGGCGCCAAGGCTATCAGAGTACAACTTTAACGTCGACGCCGCAACCATCGTATCTGCCATTAGACGCATCAAAGACACCAAATAGTCTCGACCTCTACAGTCCGATCCATCCCAAAGAGATCCTAACCTGATGTGTAAATATCATGGCACTCATGGCCACAGAACAAAAGATTACCGACAATTAAGAGAGGAGGTAGCCCGGCTATTCAACAACAGACACCTCCAAAAGTTCCTGAGCGATCGAGCCAAGAACCACTTTAGGAACTGAGATTCTAGTAAACAGATCGAGCAGGAGGAACCTCAGCACATCATTAACATGATCATCGGTGGGGTCGACGTTCTCTAGGGGCCGATGCTGAAGCGCACCAAAGTATCCATCACAAGGGAAAAACCTACTCGGGATTATGTGTCGGAGGGAACCTTGTCCTTCAACGACGAAGACGCTGAGGGAATCGTGAAACCCCACAATGATGCACTGGTAATGTCAATACTTATAAATAAATCTCGAGTTAAGCGTGTGTTAATTGATCCAGTTAGCTCGGCGAACATCATAAGATCGAGGGTCGTGGAATAGCTCGGCCTACAAGATCAGATCGTGCATGCGGTTCGAGTCCTAGACGGGTTCAACATGGCATGTGAGACCACTAAATGGGAGATAACATTACTAGTGAACACTGCCCGGACCGTTCAGGAAATAAAGTTCTATGTGATCGAAGGGGGACATAAGGTACAATGCTTTGTTTGGGGGACCATGGATTCACAACATGAGGGAGGTACCCTCGACTCTTCACCAGGTATTGAAGTTCCCGATGTTGAAATGAAGAAAAATAGTTTATGGAGAACAACCGTCCACAAAAGAGACGTTCGCGATCGACAAGGTGTTCCCGATATCCACACATTCGACACCGAAGGAGCTGGGTCCAGTCACCAAGGGAGAAACCAAATAGCAACTATTGACACCGACTCTGTCCTAACCAGAGAAGCAGGAGATGGGCGAGGATGACGACTACGGGGTTTCAATTTCTTTCATTGCTCTCGACGATTCCGATGCTACCAAATCAACGGTCGAGGAACTGGAGCAAGTCGTACTGATCGAACACTTGTCCGATCGAAAGGTATACCTGGGCACGGGGTTGAATCCCGATCTCAGGAAAAAACTCATTCAATTTATTATAGCTAACGAAGATTTTTTTACTTGGCCCCACCTTGATATGATAGGGATCACACCAGAAATAACCACTCTCCACAAGGAGGGAGTCGCACTTAGCTTCGAACATCTCTACCTCCAAGATTTTGGCCAGTTCGAGACCTGCAATAATGGCCTCATACTCGGCCTCATTGTTAGTAAATTTTATAGTCCTAATGGATTGTCTAACTACATTACCTGTGGATGATTTCAATACAATTCCAAGTACAGACCCCTTTGCGTTCGAGACGCCATATGTAAAGAGGGTCCATATTCCTGAAGAAGTCCTCGAGCTTAATAACAAATCTTTCTCGACCTCGGGTATTAGGGTCGGCGTAAAGTCGGCTACAAAGTCTGCCAAAATTTGAGATTTAATAGCTGTCCGAGGCCGATATTCAATATCGTACCCGCTGATCTCTACGGCCTATTTGGCCAACCATCCTGAGAGTTCGGGTTTATGTATTACATTCCTTAATGGGTAAGTGGTTACAACACATATGCGGTGATATTGAAAGTACAGTTTCAACTTCCTAGAGGCGCTTAGCAAAGCGAGCGCCAATTTTTCTAGGTGAGGGTATCTAGTTTGGGCCTCACCTAAAGTCCTGCTAACATAGCAAATTGGAAATTACGTACCTTTCTCTTCCCGGAATAGGACACCACTTACCGCTATCTTTGATACTGTCAAGTATAAGTATAGTTGTTTGTCTGTCTTCGGTGTGTGAAAAAGTGATGGGCTCGATAGATATCGCTTGAGCTCTTTCAAGGCTTGTTGGCAATCCGAGGTCCATGAGAACTTATTCTTTTTCTTCAACAGTGAGAAGAACCGGTGGCTTTTGTCGGAGGACCTCGAAATAAAGCGTCCCAAGGCGGCTATGCATCCGGTTAACCTTTATACGACCTTCACATTGTCCACAACAGTGATATTTTCGATGACCTTGATCTTATCAGGATTGTTCTCGATTCCCCGGTTGGATACCATGAATCCGAGAAATTTACCGGACCCGACTCCGAATGCACATTTCTCCGGGTTTAGCTTCATATTGTATTTCTTCAATATGCTGAAGGTTTCCTGCAAAAGTTTTAAATGGTCCTCTGCTCGCAGGGACTTAACCAACATACTGTCAATGTAAACTTCCATTGATTTTCCTATTTGTTCTTCGAACATCCGATTTACTAGGCGTTGGTAAGTGGCGCCGACGGTTTTTTATCCGAATGGCAATATGTTATAGCAGTAGGTGTTGTACTTGGTGATGAAGAAAGTTTTTTTCCTGATCACCCGGGTTCATCCGAATTTGGTTGTACCCGAAATAAGCATCGAGAAAATTAAGGATCTCGTGGTCGGCCGTTGCACCGATCATGCGATCGATGTTAGGCAAAGGGAAAGAGTCCTTGGGACACACTTTATTCAAGTCTTTATAGTCCACACACATTCTTAATTTGTTCCCCTTTTTGGGGACTACTACTATGTTTGCTAACCAGTCCGGGTATTTAACCTCCCGAATGGACCCTATTTTAAGGAGTTTAGATACCTCGCCTTTGATGAAAGCATGTTTGACCTCGGACTGGGGTCTCCTCTTTTGCTTGACCGGGTGGAACTTCGGGCCCAGGCTAAGTCAAACGACCTCGAAGTCCAGCACCGGGGCCACCCCATTCTCGTTGGTTTATGGCACCGAAGCTCTAATACCGGTCGAAGTCAAAGATCCTAGTCTCAGGTTCCGATATGCAACCGAAGAATTAAATAACGAGACCATGAATACGATCCTGGAACTGTTAGATGAAAGGCGTGAAGCAACCCTCGTCCGGATGGCCGCCCAAAAATAACGGATTGAGAGGTATTACAATCGAAGAGTCAACCTTCGACACTTTAATGTCAGGGACTCAGTGTTGAGGAAGGTCACATTAAACACCTAGAACCCGAATGAAGGAAAGCTGGGGCCGAACTGGGAAAGCCCATATCAAATTATCGAGATCACCGGAAAAGGGTCGTACAAACTCGGAGCAATGAATGGTGAGCGACTACCAAACATCTAGAACATAATTCACTTGAAACGATATTACTGCTAAGGTACGACCCCGTTTACTTCTTTTATTTATTTACATTTTGGACTAACGCTTGCAGGTAACCGTCAAAGAACGATACAATTTTCTAGGCCTGAAAGCACGCGTTGCACTCTTTTTTCCTTGAACCGGTTTTGTTCCAAATGGGTTTTCCGACAAGGTTTTTAGCGAGGCAATAATGGATCGTGCTAACTTAGAATCGAGGACCGGTTATCAAC